AGTGATGTTATCACTTCGTTCTAATAAAAGTCTCTCTGCCATCTGGGGGCCAGGGGTGGCAATGGATCCTTGCTGTTATGAACTCTGAATGCGTTCATTACCAGTGGTCGTTTGTTCCCTTGCTTCTGTGACCATTATTGGTGTTATTTTCCAGAGTCCATTCTGATTCCTGGTGGTCCCATGCACAAAAGAACAAAGGATTCCTTGGTCCTGTCCCATCTTCAATTTCTTTAGGATGCTTGAGTCCCTTGTTAGAATGCCTTCTAATCTAGTGGGCTCACCTTCTAGCAAGATACCTGACTGTAATCTGCCATGATCCATAGAATGTGCATTAATTAATTTTTGGAAGTAAATCGCCAGTCCTACTTTGTCTTGGGAGACTTCCCTGAAATCAGTGCATCATGGGTAACCCTGCTGCTACTTGAAAGACCGGTAGCAGAGATTCCAGCATCATTCCAGCATATAGTCACCACAGTGTGTCAAACTGACAGGACAGGTGGTGGTAACTCCACTTACCTTTCATTTCATTAAAAAAACCTCTTCTTTTCCCCTTTAAGGGCTGCCTCCTATTTCATACTGAGATCCTGATCAATATAAAGGTGAAGAGCATTCAAACCCACTTCCCATTCATAGTTCTTTAACCATAAAGGTTTTAGCCATATGTTCCACTTTCTTTCTTTAATATCAAAACTTTTGTTTTAAAATAACTGTGCTCATATATAGTATTTTCTACTATACCTAGGGGCATCTTGAGTGCGAGTGGAGGTTAAAGGGACTAGAGACTTATTCAGGAGTCTAATCATCATGATCATTTTTAGTTAGCTTTCTCCTTTGCAAAGGGGAGGGAGTTGTAGCTCTAATTAGAGCACCAACAGAGTATCTTCAAGGTCTTTCTTTTTGCTCGGTCTTTCCTTACTTTTATGCCAAGGAGTCCAGATTGTAAATCAAGTTTTGGACTTCTTCCACTCCCTTGTAAAGAATTTAAAAAATAGTTAATCTAATCTCATTGCTGCTGAAATACTGCATGCACCTAAAACTGTCAGAATGCCACACAGATCAAATATTGGTTACAAATTTTACTCCAAGCAGCAAGGAAAAATGTGATATTTTCTACAAAGGATTTTGGGATTATTGTATTTAAAAATTTATAGAGTTATCTGCAGGAAACCTGTTCTGCCCTAGAATCTTAGCATTTTAACTTAGAAATGTAGAGTCAACTGAACCATTATGTATTTTCCTATATGATCCATGAAAGATAAGCAAGTAATCACTGGTTAAGCATTTCTCGTGTATCAAATAATCTAATATGAGATTTAAAATATTCTGTAAATTGTGTGTTTATTATTTTGCCAAGTGTAAATATAGATTGCCAAGACCTACCTATATGTTCTTTGGGACAATCACAACCAATTTCTTTGATCATCTTCAATGATGGTTTCTAAGCATATGGTCCAGGGCACTCTGAGTTAGGCCAGGTTGACTAGAGAAACAAATCCAGTGACACTCATATATGTGTAAGAAAGAACTGTATATCAAATAGTCATTATATTATCAAGAAAGGGTCCCAGCCCAGTGTCCAGTCCAATTCTAGTCCATGTGTTCAATAAACCCCTCTTCAGACGCACACAGCCACCTTCAATGATGCAGAATGCAGGAAGGTCACAGGCAGGTGGGTGCAGAGTTGTGTGGATCCAAGTTCAGTGGAAACATGGCAGGGCATTGGCAACCATCAAGGTGGACACCAGAGTCCCAGCAAGAAAGAAAGTGGAGTGACAGAGTGAGGAGGGGGCTTTCCAATGATCCTCCTTGTAAGAGGGCCATGCTCCCAAGGAGACAACATCAGGCTGTGACCTGATTGATATGTCCGACTCCACTGCTAGTCAGGAAGGTCTAGTTGACATAAAATCATCCACCTACCACACATACTCCTTAAGACAAACTCATTTGTGCAGGACAATGTGAAAATATGATAATCAATATAGTACAAAGAACTCTAGAAATGGGTTGACGAGAAAATGGCATGGCATGTTCTCTCTTGCTTTGCCTAAGGTATTGCATTCCTAGTAATGGAATCTGACTGCATGTAAGAACATCTGATTACCACATTCCCAGCTCCTGTAGCATGTGCAGTTAAAATCGTCAGATTGTCAATCAATTGACTCACTATCATGTTGCACAGACTGTTCTAGTTAAGGTCGATCTAGAATAAACAAGATCACCTAAAACACCTGCCCCCCAGACTTGAAAGCTTTCTGAACATTTGAGATGGTTTTCAAATAAAAGATGTATTAAAATACATTGGATTAATGAAGGAATAGTGACAGGGGATGAGCAAATAAGTAAACGCATAAATGCTATAATGTCCAGAACCACATGGTATTTAAAAAAAAATAAAGCAGAGCAGAGTTAAAAAGTAATGAGAAAACAATTGGGGAATATCTTTATGTAGAAATGTCATTTGAGCAGAAACATTACATACAAGTATACAAAACAAAAAGGCCATGCAAGAATCTGAGAAGAATTATGATGTCAGGCCATCCAACTGGAAGACTGAAGGAACAAGAATGACCCCTTGACTGGCAAGTGCAGAAACATGGCAACAGTGGTGGGAGTTGAGTCATAGGAAACGGGCCACTTTGTATTCCATAGTAAGGGATTTGGATTGTATTACACCTAGTATGGAATGCTATCATAGGATTTTGAGTGGGAGAATTATGGAATCTGAATCATATGATAAAACAGCCTTCAGGCTACTATATGGAAAAGTAGGAGCAAGCAGACCGAATACTCTTCTGCAATAGATTCGACGAGAGCTGTGTGCTTGGATTCGAGTATAAAGCCAAGTGCAGGAGCTTTGCACTATTTCCAATTAAATTTTCAAGTAAACTTCAAAATTTTGAGTGTAATTTTAGATTTAAGGGAAACTTGCACACGTAGTACAGTACAGTGAATCCCCACATAGCTCCCATAAGGTGTCCTCCAGTGTTCGTGGCGTACATTAGTAAGGTGCATGTATCACACTTAATGAAACAATGCTGGTGCAGTTCGGAGTCTAAGAGACCCTGTGGACAACAGCAGGAAACACTGCCTGGTCCCGGAGCATCCTCGTCCTTGTTTCTAGATTTGAGTTCATTGTTGCAGCCACTGTGTCCGTCTGTCTTAGTGAGGGTGTTTTTCCTTTTCACTGACCCTCGACTTGAGCCAGCATAATGTCCTTTCCGAGGAACTCGGCCACGTCTCAGCATCCTCACTTGTAATGCACATTAAGGCTGTTCTTCCTGTGAGGCAGATTTGTTTTTTCTTTTGGCAGCCCACGGCACTTTCAATATTCTTCAATAACATCATAATTCAAAAGCATTCATTCTTCGACGCTCTTCCTTATTTGTTGTCCAGCTTTTGCCTATACAGAAGGCCTCAAAGTGACATCTTTGCTTTTTAACACTTTAACGAAGTCTTTTGCATCAGACTCGTCCAATGCCATGGGTCATTTGATTTCATAACTACTACTTCCCTGGTACAGGTGTAAGTAAAATGAAATCCCTGAAAATGTCAATATTGTCTGCATTTATCATGCTATTGCTTATTGGTCCAGCCATGATGATTTTTGTTTCCTTTATGTTGAGGTGTGATCCATACTTAAGGTTACAGTCTTTAATTTTCATCAGTAAGTTATTCAAGCCCTCTTCACTGTGACCAGGCCAAGGTAGTGTCACCTGCATATTGTTAGTTGTTGCGTCTTCCTCCAATCCTGATGGCACATTCTTCTTCATATTGTCCAGCTCCCCTGATGATCTGCTCAGTATGCAGAGTGAATGTTTGTGGCAAAAGGATACAATCCTGATATAAACCTTTCCAGATTTTAAAACAGGACGTACATTAGTTTTGTTTAAATGACTGCCTCTTGGCCTGTACAAGTTGCCGGTGAAAACAATGAAATGTTTTGGAATTCCTATTCTTTGTAATATTACTTGTAATGTGTTTTGACCCACACATTTAAAAACATTTGCATAGTCAATAAAACACAGGTAAGCATCTTTCTGGCATTCCCTGCTTTTAGTGATATCCATATGATATCATTGATGATATCTATGATATCTCCTAAATCTGGCTTGACTTTCTGGTAGATGTACTGTGACAGCCATCTTTTAATTATCTTAAGAAAAAAAATTTACTTGCATGCACTATTAATTATATTGTTATATAATTTCCACACTCTGTAGGATTGCCCTTCTTTGGAATGGGCACAAATATGGATTTCTTACAGTCAGACAGGCAGAAAAACTGTCCCAGCATTGTATCCATTTGCTGAAACATCTCCATTGGTTTTCTGTCAATTACTAAAGCCTTGATGTTTGCCAGTGTCTTCCGTGTGGCTTGGATTCCTCCTTCAATATCGTGAGTTCTTCATCTATGCTCCCTTTCGAAATGGTTAAACGTTGGTCAATTATTTTTGGTATGTACTCACTGCCTTTGAGTCATTGCTGATGCATAGTGATCCCCTGTGGTTTTCTGAGACTGTAACTATTTATGGGAGTAAAAAGCTCAGTCTTTGTCCTGCAGAGCTGCTGGTGGTTTTGAACTATTGACCATGTGTATATGGGGCCAAAGCATATACACTACACCACCAGGGCTTTGACTATGTATTCCTTCCTTTTTTTCTTTTTGCTGAGTGTAGAGTACTTCATTGATGGTACAAGACGAAGTTGGATGCTCTAAACCTCTCCCCTTATTCAGGAGGTCTGCGTGCTGGATGGCAACTTCAGATGATGGGATATTCTCAGTGTGTTTGGGGAGAGTGTTGGGGGGAAAGACTCCCCAGCAGCTGAGGTCTTTCTCTTCTCCTAGTGCTGTTGCTAGGGCTGGTGGTCCAGGGGGCTGGGGACTTTTATTCCTTGGAGGCTGTAAGGTTCATCACTCTATTGCTGTAGCCAAATTCAGTGTCATACCAGGAAATGAGCTTGACAAAGTGGTTGTTGAGGGCAATGCCAACCCCAGCATACAGGAGGATGAGTGGGTGTCACTGTTGAAGGCACAGGAGACAACCTGGTCCTCAGCATATGACAAGATGCCCTGTAGAGGACCATCCAACACCTGTTTCTTGATGTTATTGTATTTGGCAGTTTTCTCCAGATAGTAAGTGAGATCCACGACCAACACACTGGGAGTGGGGACATGGAAAGCCATGCTACTGAATTTCACATTCAGCTCTGGGATAACCTTGTCCACAGCCTTGGTAGTACCAGTGGGTGTGAGGTTGATGTTCTGGGCAGCCCCATGGCTGTTGCACCAGAGTTTCCCAGAGGGGCCATACACATGCTTCTGGGTGGCAGTGATGGTGCAGACTGTGGTCATGAGTCCCTCCATGATGCCATAGTTGTCATGGATGACCTTGGCCAGGTGGGCCAAGCAGTTGGTGGTGCAGGAGGCATTTCTGACAATCTTGAGGGAGTTGTTAAACTTCTCATGGTTCACACCCATCACAAACATGGGCCTATCAGCAGAAGGGGCAGAGGAGACCACTCTTACGGCACCAACCTTCAAGCGAACCCCAGCCTCCTCTATCACTACGAAGGCACCAGTGGACTCTACAACATACTCAGAACCAGCTTCCCAAACTTCATGTTGGCAGGATCTCACTCCTGGAAGCTGAAGCTGGACTTCTCATTGATGATCAGCATTCCATTCTCAGTCTTGACCGTGCCAGTGAATTTGCCATGAGTGGAATCATACTAGAATGTGTAGATCATGTAGTTCAGGTCAATGAAGGGGTCATTGATGGCACTAGTATCCACTTTGCCAGAGTTGAAAGCGGCCCTGGTGACTCAATGCAGGCAAACCCATTTACTCTAGCCTTCACCACCTTATCTCTGGGATGCTGCAGGGACTGCACAAGAAGATGTGACTGCCTGCCACACAAGGAGGAGCAGAGAGCCCCCGCTCACATTTTTTTTTTTTGGTGTTTTCTGAATCATTCAATATTTTTCCCATTGAATCATCCATTCTTTATATTTCCAGGCTTACCTTTTTTATTCTGTACTTCCATTTTGGATTTCTAATTATAGGTTTGTGCACATTTTACTATAATGCGTTACTGTGTCTTCTCCAACCATTCTTTCACATCTTTGGACATATTTCACTTCCTCATTTCTTCCACTTGCTTAAACTATTCTATCTTCAAGAGGATGTTTCAGCGTCTCCTCTGACATCGATCTGTGTTTTTCTTCCTTTTTTGTCTTTTAAATGACCCTTTGCTTTCTTCATGTATAATCCTTAATGTCAACTGAAATCTATTCTTGTTATGCTCTTTAACTTGAAGTGTGATCTAATCAAGGTCATACTTTGGTTCAGGTCGACTTTGGGTTTGTTCATTTGTTTTCCCCTTCAATTTGAATTTACACAGAAGCAATTTATTATCTGTACCATAGTTGGTCGCTGATCTTATTCTGATTAATGATACTGAGTTTCTCCATCATGTACATGATGATACTTGGTTTACCCATCATCTCTTTTGTTAAATGTAGTTAATTTGATTATTTTTTTCTATCTGGTGAGGTCCACATATCGAGTCACCATTTATGCTGTTGAAGCAAGGTATTTCCAATGAATAAATTATTTTTTTCTATCTGGTGAGGTCCACATATCGAGTCACCATTTATGCTGTTGAAGCAAGGTATTTCCAATGAATAAATTGTTGCTCTTGTAAAATTCTATCATGGCATCTCCAGCATTGTTTATATCACTAAGGCGACATCTTCTATCTGTTTATCCTTCTTCTTTCTCACTTTGATTTTCTGATCACTAGCAATTATCAACACATCTTGACAGCATGATCCATTTCAGACGGCAGAAATTTGTTACAAGTCTTCAATTCTTCATCTCTGGTAGTAGTATATTCATGTGTTTCACATTTAGGTCGATGATATACCTTGAATTAATTTTGGTATAAGGTCTGTGTCTAGATACATATGGATATCTATTTTTCAGCACCATTTTGGGGGGAAATAACTACTTTCTCTCCATTTAGTTGCCTGTGTGCCTATGAAAATTACAGCTCTCTCTATATACTATTTTATTTTATCTTATTACTGTGCACACATTAATTCCATACCGTCAAAATAGTCTTGTGTAAAACAATAGTCTTGTGTCTTCATTTTGTCAGAAAGTCTATCTTCTCTCCAATTCTAAGTAATAATTTGGTTAAGTATGTTCTCCAACAAATAATCGACATGCACAGTGAACAGCTCCATGCTCTAGACTAGACAGAATTCTGCAGCAATCCTCTTGGGGCTCTTCTAGGTTGATGCTCATTCAGAAATTGAGCTTTGCTTTGTTGTGGGTTGTTTTGTTTTGGGTTTTTTTTTGGCTATTCTCCGTAATTCTTCAAAATCAGGTAAACAATGAGGATATACATGTATCTGTAGGCTCTGAGAGAGAAGTCAGCAGGACAATGCCTCTAGGAGAAGAAATGCTTGGCATTTATCTTCTCAGATCTGAAATTCCAGCTTACCCTCAATAGAGATTAGACCCTGTCCAGGTTTCATCATTACTACTTCTCATTTCTCTTGAGTTCTTCCTTTTCATGCTGCATAGAAGATAACTAAAATAATTCCATTTCTGGACTTTATCTTCACTGACATCTTTCTGGATTAGCACACACTTAGGAACTTGTCTTTGGTTTTTAATTCCTTTTTCTAAAAATCATTTTATTGGGGGCTCATACAACTCATCACAATCCAGACATCAATTGAATCAGACACGTTTGTACTTATGTTGCTCCCGTTCTCTTCTAGACATTTACTTTCTATTGAGCCCTCGGTATCAGCTCTTCCCCGCTCCCTCCCCCACCTATAACCCCCACACACAGATTGTACATTGTTATTATTTTAATCTCTCACACCGACTCCTGTCTCCCTTCCCCCATGTTTTCTGTTGTTCTTCCCCCTGTAGAGGGGTGTATGGTTATGTATTGATCATTGTGATCGGTTGCCCCCTTTTCCCTTCCTCTTCCCCTCTTCCCCCTACCCTTCTGGTTTCACTGTTCCCACTCCTGTTCCTGGATTCTGTGTGTCGTGAGCTCCCGTCACTAAAACGGAACATGCACACAGGTATAGAAAGGGATGGTCTTTTGTTCTTTATGTTACCTTTTAGACAATTTCCTTTTTAAAATCTGAGCTTACCAGATGAATGAGACAGAAACAATATGTTGCGTTATTCTGAGTTACATATATGGCATGATTCCGTTTGCTTTCAAAACATTATCAGGGCAATTGGTGAAACTGGAATGAGGTCTCAGTATTAGCGGGGAGTGACATGTCCATGTTAATTTCATCATTTTGATGGTTAAATATGTAGAAGAATATCCTTGTTTTTAGGACAGACTAAAATGTTCATGATTTGTATGGCATCATGTTGGTCATTTACTTTCAAAGGTTTTGAGAAAAAGTTATTTGTAAAACTTGCAGCGTTCCTGAAAGTTTGAGATAGCCTCCCCAAAAAAGTAGTGTTCAAAAAACAAAATGCTGTTCATCAAATAAAAGTTCAGTTCATTTGTACTGGCTTCTTAAAAGTCCCCTCTCTGCTTTACCTCCCTGAGGAATTATTCCCACTTGTGAAATTGGAAGTTCATTTTAAGAGGCTCCGGTCTCCCACTCACATCCCCCTTTCACGTTTCTGTATAAGTTATATCTATTTTTCTATTCAGTTATAAGGGTCAGTCCTGCTTCCTCAAATCCCCCACTCCGTCCATGACAACAACCATCTTGGAGGATCCTTACATCTAAGATCAACATAGCAGCTCCCTTCATGCTTCTCCCCAGGCACTGGGAAAGGACATTTCCAAGGACTGGTAGTAAAATATTTTTCAGCTCTTCTTTACTCATTCTCCTTCTTTATTATTTTCCTTCCTCCTGACTGGAGCTGTGATCTAGGTGTGTGGCTCCCGCACTTAAAATAATTGAGCCACAATATCATCAAATCTCTTCGAGATCGCATGATATCCATTACCATCAAGTCAATTTCAAATTACAGTGCACCTTTGAGGTTGTAAATCTTCACGCGAATAGATATCCAGATCTTTCTGCCACGAAGTGGCTGGAGGGTTTGAACTCCCAACCTTGTAGATAATAGTCCCATGATTACCCAATATGGCCACTGAGTCTCTATCACATCACATGGAAGGCAGTCTAAACTCAGAGACTGACTTGAAGCAAAGAAGGTATGATTCAGCTCCTATGCTTACTCTTCCAGCTGTTCCATTCATGGCCCTTCTTGGGATATCTTTGAATAAGAGATTTTCTGACATGCCTTGCTTACTCAGAGAAAGTATTGTGTTTTTTGGAGGAACAGCATACCTGGTTCTTTCTTGGCCTTTGGAAGAAGAAATGGTTTTAAAACTAGCCTTAGGATGTAATTTCCCCTTCCTTTCCCCATCTCCCAGCTCCTCTGCCATTTCTTGCAGTTCACATTTTCCTGAAAGGTCAGAAACCTAATTAGGTCCCTTGAAACCAGTTAATCTAAGTGTTTAATCTATGCTGTATTCTGTGGTTGTTATTTTCAATATTGTAACTCCTGTGTGGCTTTGCCTTCAGCATGGTTTTTATGCCATGAAAGAAGTATTTTGATGCATGTACTAAGGAGGGAAAACAATTCCCAACTATCCAAAATAAAAATGCACAAAAAGGCTTTTTCTTCAGGCATTACATTGTAATTCAGGTTTCATAAAACTTTGTGTTAAACACGGGAATTACATGGTTATTCTCCTAGAAAGTTAAATCCCATTATAACAGGCCTACATGTAATGATCGTTTCACAATAATAATGTGAAGTATTAATCAAATTGGAAAGCCCTGGACAATGGCCTATAAAGCAATTTCCCCCTCATTTAACATCAGCCAACGTTAAAATGCATTTTATTTACTTCAGAGCCTTAAAAAAAAACCACCACTGGTTTTCTATTATTCCTAAGGTACACAGTGTTTATTTTATCCCTATACATAAAGCATGGAACTAAACATCCATGTTTAGAAGGCAATAAATAGACAATTGATAATGGTCGATTAAAAATAAAAACTTAACTAAATTTGTTAAAATTTTAAAGCATATTATAGGGCAATGAGCTAATTCAATTATAGTGAGACAACAGACCAAAAGTAACCATTATATAGAAGAGGTCCCGCATGAATATTATTTAACAGAGGACTAACCTGGTGTCATATTGAGTTATGAATTAGCCTGTTAACCACAAGGTCAGCAGTTTGAACTCACCAGCCAATCCAGAAGAGAAAGATGGAGCTTTCTGATTACTTAAAGTTTTTGGATTCCTGGTGGTGTAGTGGATTACAAATAGAGCGTCTAACTCCAAGGTC